TTGTGTTGTTGCTGTTGCGTTACAGGGCACACTGGGGGGTGGAGTTTCTTTATTACTGCGTTGACGTTAGGTTGTGTTGTTGGTTAACAGCCGGGCCGGCTGCAAGCTATGTGGGAGGGGGTGATGTAGTGGTGATACGCGCTGGGATTAGGGATCGTATGCCAGCGCGTAATGATTGGCTGTGTAGGTGGTGACACGCGCTGACGGTGGAGGATCAGGGGTCAGCGCGGGGTCGTGGGTTACGGGGTACTGATTGGCTGTGTGCCGGTGACGTGCTGAGAGGGAGTGATCGGGTGGCAGCGCGATGTGATTGGTGGAGTAGTGTTAACACGCGCTGGGGAAAACGGATCGTAGAGAGAGTGCGTCGTGATTGGTTCACTAAGGAACGATGCTCACGTCGACGTCCGCATCAGCTCCGTCTCTCGTGAGCAGGGGCTATAAAAGGGGATGCACACAGGCGTAAGAGCAGTATGTAACCAGCGAAGAATGAAGACGGGGATGAAGACATAGGGCCCTGCGGTACCTAGTCCCGCTGTCCTCACGGGACCGGGACTCTGTGTAACCCAGAGGCGAGTGTAGTGTGTGTAGCCATAGGCATAAGGTCTACACGAGCCGAATGCATTGTGTGTAGCCAGAGGCATAGGGTCTACACGAGTCAAGTGTATTGTGTAGCCAGAGGCATAGGGTCTACGCGAGTCAAGTGTATTGTGTAGCCAGAGGCATAGGGTCTACACGAGTCAAGTGTATCGTGTGTAGCCAGAGGCATAGAGTCTACACGAGTTCAGTGGAGTGTATAGTCGAAAGAATAGAGACCACACGTTGTATTGTGACACGTCAAGATTTAATAAAAGTGTGTTACCCGTCAAGAAGTTCCTGCCGTCATTTCCAATACTTCAGATGTATACCCCGGAAATGCTGGTGATGATAACAGCAGTTCAGCCCATGGAGCCACCATCAAAGGAACCGTGCAGGGACTACGCGCTAGGTCTGACCTATATGGAATGGAGTCAGCTACAAGCCAATGATGCGAGCCTGCTACCCTTGCATCGCCAAGTAAATCCTAGAATGATCTGACTTTGTGTTGCTTGACGGATTATTAATGTGGTGGAATGCGATCACTCAACAACGATGCCTGGAGGTACCCACATCCATGTGAAGCAGGTTTATGCGGGAGGTCCATGCAAATAAGTTGCTGCACCTGGGGTGTCACAAAACACTCTTGACCCTCAAACGGGATTATTATTGGCTGCGCATGTCTGCGGATGTAAATAACTTAGACGTGTGGTGCACAGAGTGCATTGGTCGAGAACCACCGGGGCACAGGTCACAGCCTCCCTTACAACCGATCGTTGTCTCCAGGGTCAATGAATTTCTCATAACGGGGAAATTAATTTCTCCTAGTAGGGGTAGAATACCTAACAAGGTGGCCGATGGCATGGCCGCTGCCGGGCAAAATGGAAGAATCAATTACTGATGCGTTCCTTCATGGATACATGATGGACAAAGGCCCTGCAGAGCAGCTCCTCACTGATCAAGAACGACATTTTTTGTCTAAACTCATGAAATAAGTAAGTGAGGCATTGGGTACAAAGAAAATGCATACTTCCCCATACCACCCTCAAACGGATGGCTTGGTTGAACGGCTGAACAGGACCCTGACAGCGATGCTCGGCCACGTCGTTAATGAGACGAAAACCAAGTGAAATCTTTACATTCCTGGGGTCTTGGAAGCATATAGACTGGTGCCACATGCCTCCACGGGGTTTTCCCCCTTTTACCTCATGTACGGTAGGTAGCATGAACCTCCCATAGAGACACAGCTGGGTAACATTCCTAAAGGCGTGCCAGGTCAGCTGGTGTCCTTGTAGGTCACACTGAACCGACTACATGAGTCACGGACAGCGGCAATGGCAAACAAATTGAATGCCCAGGCCGCAAATGAATGACACAAATTGCCACTCAATCACACACTTACATGGTCAGTTGGTGATGAGGCATGGCTGCATTGTCCACAGGTCCCACTACATACCTCCCCAAAATTGCATCGACCATGGCAGAGCCCTGTTGAAATAATTGAAGTCAAGTGGCCGCAATGTATACGTGTGTAATCGGGACATCACCATTGGTACATTCACCCATCGCACCTAAATCCGTATTTCCATAATCACCTGAACATCTCATCCCCATGCCCTGTTTCACCGCAGTCTGGGGTGTACGACAAGCTGCTATGGCCGACAGCAGCACCCACATCAAAAGTGCATGACCCTGTGCTTCCCACAGAGCTAAGTATGACCCAGGACCCCTCGGAGCGGGACCCTGCAGAGGATGCCGATCCGATGACAAGAACCCACGCAAAATGCATACGATGGTTCTGACAATAGACTGATCAGCGCGGCAGATCGTTGCACCGCTTGATCCCATAATCCTATTGTCGTTATTCCTAATTATGGGAGGTGCAATGTCTGCGCTGCTAAAATTGTTTATTGCCACACTGTCGACACAGTAATGTTGTATATCGTATCACCACGTTCTGGGTTGGAATTCCCCTCGGCTCCCCATGCTCTGTAGGTTGGTCATTCCTCCCTGAAGTTAGTCGGGATGGCTCTTTTTTCAAAGTGGGGTGGGGGGGGCGCGGCGGGGGGGTGATGCAATGACCGAAATTAACAAACACTCAGCCCAAACCAATGTGTAGCATAACGGTTATTCTAAAATAGGCCAAGGACTCCGATTAGCGGAAAGAGGCCTCCACAGTGATTGGTTGGGAAGCAGACTTTAAAGTGATTGGAGGAAAAGGGTTTGAACGAGCATTGGTGGGAAACAGAGTGGAACCCAGAGGCGTTGGTTGGCATCCATTACAGGAGAATGACAGGGATTGGCTCGGGGAAAAACAGTGAGGGAACATTCGAGAAAGGGGGCTCGACAGATATAAATGGGGAGAACACAAGGAGAGGGGACGTTCGAGGGAAGGCACGAACTTCAAGACCAAACACGAAGCTCGGACCTAGTATTGTTACTGTGCGCTAATAAAAGAGGCTCCGAGTCGTTCATCATTCGAGTCGCTTCATATATGTCTTGTCGTCTTTCATACAGTACAGTACTAAATGATTGCAAATACGACAATCCCACATGTCATGCATATCGTGTTCTAAATGTTTTTTCACTACTTTGCAATCGGGGTGATCATTATTTTAATTGTAATAGCTATTAACCTTTCATTATATAGACTGTTGTTGTATAGCAATGCGTATGCTTAACTTTTTGTTATATGGTTAAGGGTTGACATAGGCAAGCCATCATTTTCATCTCTACAGGGTCATAAAATAGGTAGCACTTTGTACGAAGTTGTCCGTGGTTTTTAAAATTGTCCCTGCTCTGGGAATGTAGAATTTCCACTGGTGAAGATGACCGCCACACAATGCCCTTAGCAGCATAGATTATAATTTTTGGTCAATCCACTGCTGAATAAGGGCCTCCCCATGCCCTGCTGGTTGTGGAGGTCGTTTCACCATACTTCACATCAAATGGTCAATGCGGATTGGTAAAGGCGGCCACCACATATACGTACAGTTAAAATGTATATAACCACAACGTGGCCCCGCAGCCCTATGACAACATTTTTTGTGCATGGTGGGCATCCATCCAAGCACTGTCCACGGTCACATCTGCTTGGCTTTCGAGGTCTGCCCAGATCGGGCGCGTTCCAAGTCCGGGTGATTTGTTAATCGGCATTGAGGGTTACAGTGATGCTATTCTTAACAGTGGCGAGATGTTAACTATCTAGCCTTGTATACAGGAGGTTGTGGGTTCGATGCTGACTCTTAAGACCTGTATATTTGGAGTTTGCATGTCATTCCCGTGATCGCGGGGATTTTTCTCCGGGCCCTCTGGGTTTTCCCTCCAAAATTAAGAAACATCTCCTTCGAGTATTTGGCTGCTATAAATTTCCACATGATAAGCTACTCCATTGCCCCCCTCACATTTATGGCCAGGTCGCTTCTGCAAAACAGCTATATGGCTCTTGTGGGCCTTAACTAGTAAAATAAAATAGTAGTTAAATAGTAAAAATATTTTTTATGGTAAAAAAATAGGTACACAAATATTTTTTCAATGCACACACTTTTATTTCCACTCTAAAGTAGAAAATACATGATTTTCAACCCAGAAATTAAAAAAATCTTACGTACTGAATGAAAGTGGGTGGCTTCCTTTCGATATGTTTAATTTTCTTTTTGAAAGCCACCCATTTTTATTAAGCACATCAAATTTTATTAATTTCGGGGGTTACAATAATGTATTTTCTACTTTATCTCATCTTATGTGTATATAGCACTTTTATCCAAAGCGCTTAACAAGGGTTATGAGTAGTACAATTACGGTAGCTCAAGGTGATATGGTGAAAAGGGATGGGGTATGGGGAGGGAGGATAGTGGGTTACGGGAATTACGGGGGTACCTAGGGATTGAGAGAAGCATGGGCCATGGAGAAGAGCTGGGTCTTGAGGGTGGAGCAGAAACTACACAGGGAGGGTTCTTGCTTAATGTGGAGCGGAAGTTTGCCCCAGTGGAAGGGGGCAAGTAAGGAAAATGAGCAGAAGCGGGATTTTGCACATGGAGAGGATGGAACGGTTAAGAGTATGAGAGATCGATAGCGGAGCGGGCGGGAGGGAACATAAAACAAGACGAGGGAAGCGAGGTAAGGTGGGGAAGGATATTAAGGGTAGAGAAGAGTAGGTGGGGATGAGAGGAAAGGGAAAAAAATAGAGTGTGGAAGTAATTCTGTTTGGCTACTTCCAGTGAAGAAAGTATTGGCCGTAGTAGGGAGAGATAATTAGAGAGGGAAGAAGGGGAGGGATAAGCCCTCCACTTATGCTCTGATCTGTGCAGAGAGCGACTGCTTGATAGGATGTAGGGGGTTAGCCAGGGCTGGGGGGGTTTGCAGGATGGGAACGAGGGCACAGGGGAGCAAGGAGGTTAAGTGATGTGTTGATGGTAGAATGCAAGATGGCAGAGGCAGCGTCTGGGTGGAGGGAGGACAAAGAGGGCAAGGAAGGGAGAGAGGAGGGGATCCGGGAGATTATGGATGTGGAGTCTAGTAAGCAGAGATTACACGAAAGAAAGTGGTGCTCTGCAAACCTTCTGGCTACCATCAAAGGTTTGTACACGAAGCCATCCAGATATACAAACACAGACATAACTTCAACCGTGATAATGGGTACAGACTGAGTAATCATTGGAAACATGTTATTAACCATGTAAAAAAAATTAACTACACATATTTGTACCATCTTATTTGACAGGTACTATTCTACTTTACCGAGTGTTGACATCACCAGCGTTTAACAGTACTGCTATTTTGTATTTTGGATTTGTCAGCTAACACCGGCCGTAGCCCCGGGCTGAGGTGCACTAATTGTTCCCTTCTAGCCCCCCCACCCCACCGTCCAGTGGGATTTGGCAGCCAACATCGGCCTCAACCCCAAGTTGAGGTGCACCAAGTGTTCCCTTTTAGCGCCCCCCCCCCCACCGTTCCATTCCCTGACTACCACATTCAGATAAGCCCCTCCCCCCCTCCCCCTTAACATGTATTTAAGAGCTTGTCTCTTGGATTTTTCCTCACTTGATACAGTAAATTTAGCTGTGACGGTCCCACCTGATGACGGAGACTTGTGTTGCCTCCGAAACGTCGTGATTTATTATTTTATTTCTATTTTTATTATTATTTATTCTTTATTTTTACCTACGTGACTTTACCGAAAAAACCTAAGAGTATGAATCCAAGATAACTGTTTCCCCCGCAGTGAACAAAAAGTTGCATCGTGTGACTCAGATGGAAGGGCAAGATCTGAAGCTGAGCTGTACCTTCACAGTGGCACGTGTGTTTACTTCACTACGTTGGGAATACAAAACTTTGAATGAGCTTAAAGAAAGAGAAACCGTAAGTGTGTAACAGTCTCTTTCAACCACTCATTTTTAAGTGGCTCAGTCGTGTTGTACGAGTCCAGGAAAGAGATTAAAATTGCTCAACGCATTTACTCCGACTGGAAACAAAGGCAAACGCCTAGTGTAAATATATAACGCACCAAACGCAATAATTAAATTATTGCTGTGATTATACATTTAATTCATAGCGTGCATCTGTTATCCTTACAGATTTTATTCTGCTCTGAGAAACAAAATCCTCCTTGCCCCGAGTCTCCGTTGTTTCCCCGAGTGGAGTTTTCTGGAGACCTGAAGAATGGGGATGGCTCCATCACCATCAAGAAAGCCACCAACGATGACAGTGGTGTCTATAGCTGTGACAGCTTCGACTGGAATACAACACATCAAACCGTGGTGGAGATCTTGAGCACCACAAGTACCGCAAGTACATTTGTAGAGAAACAGTAAAAGCCTAGAGAAGCAACTGCTGTCATTGCACCACACGTACACTTGCGCCACTTGTACAGTTAAAATGTTATCAGTAATTGTTTTTTGGTTAGGCCACGTGGTGCCTAAGTATCAGCCATGATGACGTCACCAACTGCGGCAGCATGGACCATTCTCATTTGCTTTGTTATTCGGGCCTGGATACTTTTCATATGTTACTTAATTGAAACAATTTTCCTCCACTATTCGAACCATTAACTAAAATTGCAGTTTTTTGTATGGTATTGCTGTTGCATAGTTATCTACTCATACTGCTTGTCTCGTTGGATGTGTATATTAGATTTGTTGGTTCAGTGGAAATGTAATTGAGTGTAGTTTATAGTGCAGTGTAAATATTCACTTGTTATTTATGTGATGTCAAGCAGCACTTAGTTTATAACGGTCCTCATTATTGAAGTTGTTTAGATCTATCTCCATTTCAATTGCTTCTCTGATCACCATTTGGCAGTCATAACTGGATTAGCATGGGCAGCCCACTTCATTTAGGTGTGCCATGCTTATCCCTCCTGACACCGCGTGTATTGGCTATGATGTTATTTATTAAGGACCACCGTCTCATATTCACGTGGCATTGCAGCTCTTGAATTATGATTATTTTTTACCTAAAGTGTAACTTCTTGTTATATTGGGTTATCGACCCTCTGGCCCAGGGGGAACTGGTTGGAGTTATCAAGGCCACCGGTCTTGATGGACAGGCGGTAGAGAAGAGAGAGGTGGAAAGCCTCTGAGTCATATGGCCCAATGGGTGTGAAGATAACGGGTGATGTCATGGGGTGGGACTAGGGTAAAAGGTACTCTTAAACAATTTGTATTTTATTTCACCAGGTCAAGCCCAATAAGCTCTGTAGCTTTTTTCAGAAGCAACCTAGCCACAAGCTCACAAATAATAGCCCATGTGGAAATTTATAGCAGCAGCCAAATACTCTAAACGTGTGACGGAAAAAATCCACGCGACCACGGGGAGAGAGAACATGCAAACTGCAAATATACAGCAGGTATCATGGCTGAGTGGCCATGTGGATGGAGTTACATATTCAGTGTTACGCATCAAGGTAATAATTAACTGTAATATTCTTGATTAAAAATAATAGGTTTCACCCTTTCTGGCAATAAAACATGAGTTGTGTTAAGATGTTCAAACACCACGTAGATATCTTTTGCAAGGCATCAAGTCTGCATTAACCACACATACTTGTGGCAAAACATACATGAACACAAACATGATCTGATAATGTATGCATAGTTTGAAGCTGATTGGCCTACACCAGAGACAGCCTTCTTTATCGCCTTGTCTCACCACGAGTGTTGGACCAGAGAACGCCAAAAGACGAAAAGTACAAAGACAATGCAAGTATCAGAACACGTATATCTCAGGTCCAGCAGTTATATTTACGGGACTTTTTTTCCAAGTATCAAAATGTTATTGTGGTTATAGAAGTATTTGAGTTGTCCCCGATTGTTACGAGGGGCATTACATGGGCATGCGATTGTATATAACACAGGAGATAACAGCACATGCGCACCATAACGCTCTAACCACCGATCTTGACTCTCTTCCTTCTCTGCAGACTCACCCATCTCCTCGTCCTCAGTCACTCCAAGTTCCCCCTCTTCCTCCAAGCCGCCGTGTTGCCTGTGGCTCTCGCTGGCCGTGCTGACGATGGGCGTGGTGTCTGTGCTGCTTGGGGGCGTATGCCTCGTGCGATGGCGATGGGAAACAGGAGAACTCGCAGGGGACTGCGCGGAGAAAACGATGTAGTCCAATTAGAACTCGTGGTCGTGGCTAGTCCAACAGGGTACGAATATGGCAATCGACATTTTCTATCAATATAGAATTTGCCTGTCGATAATAATTTGCATTTGCAGGGCACTCGCTTAAATGCTGCAGCTACTCGAAGTACCCAACGTCATATCTCAACCACTCCAATGCAGTATCGGGAGACGTCTAGTAGCAGATGTCTTTATTACACAAATTGTATGCAACCCAATTGAACATCCTTATCCTAAAACGCTATCGGCTTCCCAGAAAGTGGAATTGATTGCATTAAACCCCGGGGAATTATGGGTTATGTTGACTTCTGGATGATATTTTTAACTTGCAATGTTCTGATTCCTTCAAGTGCTAACCAATGCTCTACCCATTCAGACAAATTTAACACATAATGCATGTCATATAAAGCAACTAAATACGACTGCTTCAATCCAATTGTAACTCTCACAAGACTTCCTAATCTCATCATGCCCCTTCCCTGCTCCCCCTTAATGTACAGTATACTATTGTTTGTAGGGAATTATTTTAAGAGCTGTTCAAGAATGATGCATAGTCAATTTGCACAGTGACATTCTTACTTTATATCTATATTTCATGAAGTCAAAGCATAGTGGATGTTATTTTAGATGTGTATACAGATGTTTAGAGGTCGTATGTCATTGTTCATTCTCATTGTTAAAGCCACGGTAATAAAATATAGAGATTCGCACCACTGTGTATTTTGATCTTCTTCTTATTTGGCAAATCCATCACGGTCGTGGATGATTGTATCCCATCAATGTATTTTATGTGGGTTCGAAAGTGGCTGATGAGGCCGATGGTAAAGCATCCGCAAACTGTCGGAGCTCGGGGCCTCCGCGTGTCCAGGCAGGAAGGGTGGCCCTGGGCTGTTGATTGGATGGGTAGCCCTGAGTTGTTGATTGGATGGGCGGCCCCGGGCTGTTGATTGGATGGGTGGCCCTGAGTTGTTGATTGGATGGGTGGCCCTGGGCTGTTGATTGGATGGGTGGCTCTGTGCTGTTCACTGACTGCGACAATGCGTCTGATTCTGCTACTCCCTCCCGCTTTGCCTCCTATTGTTATTATTGGATTTCGATGTGCAATTGACACAGATGCATGTCATTTGCAAGTGCGATTTAAATTATCATTCAGAATTCACATTTTAGCATCGAGTTGTGATGGGAGGGCAACCAATTGCATTTGTGAAGCGACGCAACCGCATGTGTTTGTGGAGTTCACAGAGTACACGAGAAAGGCCCTCACGAGTGTATCACTCGCCACGACCGTTAATCAAACCCATGTTGGCTCGGGCTTATAGCCCAGCACAACCGGCATTGCACTACTGCTCCATGCACCAGAATTATGCTCTTACATTAATCATAAGCTGGGATGTGGAGTCCAGTCCATTGTCTCCAATGGAAGAGGAACCAACGGTGCCTGTTACTGGGCTGCTGATGGCATTGCCACAGTGTCAACAGCATAGGGTGATAGCTGATCATTATATTCCTGTGCATAGCGATACAGTATGATGCCAATGTCGAGAGGGCTTAAACAGAGAGTTTGTATAGTTTCGCTATTCCTCCATTTAAGGAGCATGCCTATTCCAATATTGCAATAAGTGTACAATAGTCATAAACCTCTGCAGGCATCCCTATAATATGTTTGGTTAGCCAAGTCACTCGTGCGTGTATTGTGACATAAAGAGGGTGGTCTGCCGTTTTCTTGGTTCTTTCGGTAAAGTCACGTATAAGGTAAATAATAAAATAATAAAAGTAAAACATAATTAAATACATTTCTTTGTGAGAATTACTTTATTATTATGTTGTATTTTTATTATTTTATTATTTCCCTTCTACGTGACTTTACCGAAAGAACCAAGAAGATGAATCTTTGCAGTCACGAAAGCTTTAAATCGAAATTTGGTCTGCCGTTGTTTGTTTGAAGGCAAGCCACCCTACACGTTTGCATATGGTAGCTCGTAAACAGCAAGTCACACTCAAATTATAGTACAACATAAAAACTCGAACACACACTCCCGGCTATGTCCTAGCACGGTCCCAAACACACAGACACACACTCCTAGATAAGGCAACCTTAGCCACGACTGGGCATTACAGATATTGTGCTCATCCTTCCGAATATAGGGAGTATTGCCAATCACACGGGATTTCACACTTTAGTGAGTTTTACTCGTATCCCGATTCATATTCTTAGGTTTTTTTCGGTAAAGTCACGTAGGTAAAAAATAAAAATTAATAAAATAAAAATAAAATACAAATCACGACGTTTCGGAGGCAACACAAGCTTCCGTCTTCAGGTGGAACCGTCACAGCACGCTTGCTGTATCAAGTAAATGAGAAATTCCAAGAGATACTACCCCGTATATATACTGGTTGAGGGGGGGATGAGCCAGGACAGGCCCCCTTTTTATTATTATGGTAAAGACAGCCAGTTTTGTTTTACCATGTTTAGCTTCTTTTTTCACACGCTGGTTTCCTGCTATAAGTTTTACCCACCAAGCAACATAGCAGGAGGCTGTTTCTTCCTGACCTGCTTTTTTGCTTTAACCATCTATATGGCAGAGGCTCGGTCCCATTAGCAGCAGTTGCACTTTAACAACTCTGGCACCCCCCCCCTCAGCCAGTCTACATAACAAAGGCTCAGTCCTTTGTTATGTAGACAAGCCGTAGTTTCAAGCCGCACCAACCTTACCATAATAATAAAAAGGGGGCCTGTCCTGGCTCATCCCCCCCTCAACCAGTATATATACGGGGTAGTATCTCTTGGAATTTCTCATTTACTTGATACAGCAAGCGTGCTGTGACGGTTCCACCTGAAGACGGAAGCTTGTGTTGCCTCCGAAACGTCATAATTTTTATTTTATTTTACTTTTATAAATTTTAATTTAAAATTTTTACCTACGTGACTTTACCGAAAAAAACTAAGAATATGAATCCTTGCAGTCACGAAAGCTTCAAATCTAGAATCGTATCCCGATTCTTCCTCGGGATTATGGGGATTGTTGTGACGACTCAGTGTTTCCAACCCCATTTTGTTCCAACACCCCCCTAACACCAAATTTACACTTTGTGTAGAGCGAATTTGTCACCTCTTCCCTCCGGTAGATGGCCCTCCTCGCCATCACTGGGCATCGATGAAACTACTGGATGTGTGGAGAAGAGCACAGTATAAATGTATATTCTGAATCAATTGCTTCCAAAAAGGTCCTTTAAAGGGGACTAATCACTTAACTATTTTTTTTTATTTTACCAGGTAAGACCCACTGAGCCCTATAGCTATTTTTCAAAAGCAACATGTCCACAAATAATAGCTCAAAAAAGTGGCATATTGCATGGAAATTTATAGCAGCAGCCGAATACTCCAAACCCGTGATGCTGCTTCTAAATCGGGAGGGGGGAGGGACCGGAGGACCCGAATGAAAATCCATGCGAGCACAGGGAGACACGGCAAACTCCAAATATACAGGCGTCAGGGTTGGGATCGAACCCATGACCTCCTGTATACCAGGCGAGGGAGTTAACATCTCGGCACCGTGGAAACTCCAGAAGTCTCTACTGGAGTGTGCTGTACACCAACCTATCACCGCTTTATTTTTTGGCTGGTTATTTTAGCATGGAGCCTCACCACAACTTATTTAGTGTTGAGAGGCAAAACACAGCAATCACAAATTGCCACATCGCACCTCCGATTAGCATGGTTGGCTACGTACGGTGTGTGTTAGAAGTTCAACATACATTACATACCACTTCTCAGCCATTTACAATTATAACACTCATCTGTATAATATCAACATTATAGATAGTGGGAAGACAACAGCAGATTATTGACTTGTGTGGCCACCGGCTCGTTCCCACCACAAGGTGGCGCGAGAGGCAGCCTCCTTGTTCATTCAATGCACAGTACGGGGGGCTGTTGATCCAGTAGAACTCAGGTTGGCAGAGAAAGTGATCAGCAAATAAGACCCATAGTTTCCTCTACGGCAGTGTTTCTCAAACTTGTTTGGCTCCCGGAACCACTCAGCCAATGCAAACATTTCCACAGAACACCCAGCCCCAAACACAAAGATCCCCCGTATAGCCTTAACAGACTGTTGGGGCAACTTCTGTTAGCGAACACATATGAAAGCATGAACAGCGCACCATGGGGTGGGTGGCCAGCACCACGCCCGATCGCATTTGTCTCCCCAGTGGCGATGTTTACACACCACACCAGATACTCATTTGAGACTGAGTCGACCTAGGGGAGGCCCAGAACCGGTTCAATAATCGCCACTAGTGTTGGTAGCCATGAGTGGGAATCGAATCCAGGTCGCCAGTTTCGTAGTGCACCACCACTCCCCAGCACACCACCCCTAGTGAAAAAACCGCATTCGCTTCTCTAAATACTACGAATTTAAAATGATTAATTTTAACGAAATATAAAAACACTTTTATACACAGCTATACGGTGTTTTTTGGTGGGTGGGGCGTATATAGATATGTTACCACCTTAACATATAACCCCTAAACCCACCACTGCACTAACCTCGTCCAATTCCATTTGCCATTCTAATGGAAAGAATGATGCTGCTTTTGATGAGACGCCAGTGAGGGGATGCCTCGCTTCAGGCTGGAGAGCTTGAGTCCGATATTCTTATGATATAGCTATCACTTATTAACCCAATTCATTCAATCTATTCAACATCGTTTTACTTTAATCAATTTCGCTTTCACCGAATTCACGCATCACAGATTCGCCCCAATTGCTTCCTCTCATATATTTTATTCACTTTATCTCCACCGTTACATTCACACACGCTGTAACGTTCTTAATTCTCTGTGAATCACCTCGGTTAAAGTGCTATATAAATTATGTTAAGAAAAGATTTCGGTCTCCATATTTGGCAGATTTCTCTGTCTTGTTTTCAACCCTATAAGTGCTGAAAATCCAATTCTGCAGTTGTATGTGTATATAAACAGGCAATTGGTGCTTCAGAGCTGTGTGGGCGAGCCCAGGATACTCTGACTTTCACCTGAAGACCAAAGTCCGTCAAACTTTTCTCGCTGAAAATGAGCTTTAGCATCCCACAATATAGTCCATCTCTTTTGGTGGAAGCTTGCCACTGATCTATTCATTGTGGTCCTCGTTTCCAAATGGATTTCTGATCCTGCGTCTGGTTCTTGGAAATTCGTTCCGAATTGCTCGTGAAGGCCTAGTTAGGTGCGCTAGTCTTCAACAATGTGCCCAGCTATTTATTCCACGGACGTAAGAAGGAAATCAGCAAGAGTTGTAAAAATGTAAAAACATTCTCGGCGATGCAGGCTGGCAAACCACATCTCCGTCTTCACTTAAACAGCTTTTAATTTATCCCGGACATGAAAGATGGGGACAGATTTTCCATGCAAAGCAAGATTAAGCCCATTCAGAACGCTGAAACTATTAGCTGGTTATACCAATTGAGCAAGCCATGAAAAATTACTGCACTCGGTCCGAGAGATCGAAGACTTGACAGCAACTGTCGTTCAGTTTAACACGCATGCTTTCACGACTAATGCTATTAATAACAAACGTTCAATTCCGGCACAATTCGCTCGATAAAGCTGGTTGTTGTAATTACCAGCAAAGCG